TTAGAGCATGAGCTTTCGTGGACTACAGCCCACTTCTTCGGATCCGAAGAAGTGGGCTGTAGTCCACGAAAGCTTATGCTCTAATAAATTTGTTAGTCTCTAAGGTGCCACAAGTACTCCTGTTCTTTTTTTTAGGAAAGAGAGGTAAGCCAAACCGAAATCAGTGTCCACCCAGCGTCCACCCATTGAACTAACCCAGTTCAGGTGGGTGCATAGATAAGCCTTATGCTGCTAGCCCAGTGGCCGCCTAGGCTCAACTGTGCCAGTGGACGCCGCCTCAAGCAATGTGGGGTGTAAACTGCCCTACCCCAGGAGTTGTCCTGGGATTTAGCCCTTGCTGTCACCCCCTGGTGCCTTCGCCCTGCTCCCTCCTGGCTCCAGGGCTGTTGATGGTTTGCTGCTGACCTCCCTCAGCAGCAACTTATGAGGACGGGGAAGATGAGCCCAGCCATCCCAGAGAGCCTGTCGACTCTCTGGCCCCTGCAGTCTCTCACCCTCTGGGTTTGTGAGGGAGAAACAGTGTGCCCTGACTGGCTCTCTCCACTCCGTTGCCTCCCTCCCCAGCCCCCGGAAGAGGTCTCCTCCGCCGGCGATTCGGTGATGATCAAGTTCCACTCGGATGACACCATCAACAAGAAGGGCTTCCACCTGCGGTACACCAGCACCAAATTCCAGGACACTCTGCACACAAGGAAATGAGGCCCCACGGCCACCAGGGCCCTCGCCACCCCACGCTGGAGGGACAGTTCTTTTCTGTATAGAACAAATACATGCGCGGGGAGGTGGGGGGGAACCAGACAGACTGGATGGAGAAACACACAGTGAACCTCAGCACTAAGACACACTCACACAGAGGCTAAGGCACAGTCAGCTGCTGGCACCGACCAGATTGGGGGAGGGGGGTGTCTTATCTCTTTAAATATCCATTCCTGGGCCTCTTTTTGTTCTTTGAAGCAGGGGACCGCCCAAGCCAGCAGCAAATGTTCTTCTTAACCACTTTGCAACTACCGTTGATGAATCGATTGTATCCCCCAACTCCCCTAACCCCCCCCCCCCGGGACGGTATCGCTTAATGCAGGAAAGTCCAACTGTATGGCAGATGTTTTCCTTTATAAACTTGACAAAGCAGGTATCAGCTCAGCTCTCTGAATGTACAAATCCCACAGGAGTGAAGAGCCCAGCAAACACACAGAAGCTGCTGGCTATCTGTCGTAACGATGTAATAAAAACTCTATCTTGTAAGGAGATGGCCATCGGCCTCTTTAACTCTCGTCTGTTTGGGGTTTTGTTTTAGTGATGCTCTTCTGAGAGACACCTAATGTATCGGAGTCCTTTCCCCCAAATGTACGTTCGTTCTTTTTAAAAGTCTGATCTCCAGTTGGAGTGTTGTCTTCTTTCATGACACATCAGTTGATCTAGAGACCGCCTCGAAAGCAATTGCGGGAAGGAGCCAGGCGCTACCTCCGGTCCCACTTGGAAAGTCTGCATCTAATAAATGGAAAGTGTTGCAAACAAAACCGCCTGGAGTCCTTGCTGGTGTGCGCCTGCTATCCAGGTATTCCCATCTGTGCTCACTCTCTTTTGGATCCTTTTTGGATCCGCTTTCATCCTCTGCCATCTGGTGGTTGTTTCCAGCGATGCTGTCACTTTCTGGGGTCTTGCTTTGTAGAAGCCATTGTCTCATTGGGTTCCAGTGGTGCTGGATCCTTCTTGGGAGCAATCCTAATCTCTTGGATTCTATGCTCGTGCCTGTTCTCCAGCTCTGCCATCTCTTTCGGGGCTCCTGTGGTAGTGTTCTGCTCTCCAGATGTTTCCAGCTATGATCGCTCTTGTGTGGATCCTTTTCTGCAGCCTTCTGTATCTCTTAATCTTCCGTGGGTCTGATTCTCCTTTGACACTCATGTTAATCTGGAGGAATTCTAGTGGACTCAATGAAGAGTGTCCACTATATGGTAAATGAGAAGACTAAAAAAGGCCCTATCTATCTGAGGCTTGAGTCAGCAAAACAATTAAGCAGTTGCTTAAAGTTAAGCGAGTACTTGAGTGCTTTGCTGATTCAGGGTCTTTGGGAGACAGGAAGGGCTTTATTGATCATATTTAATAAGTACTTTTTAAACATGTTTTTATATTCAAATAACATTTCCCCTCGCCCCATGTTGTAAGGGAAATAGCAGGAAAATATTACAGAGAAATTAAGAGAGACAAGAGAGACCTATAAGGTAACACGGGCATTTACAGTCAGCAAGGAGCAGAGTCCTGGGTCTGAACCCTGGCACGTCTGCATCTCAGGTTTGCTAATATGAAATGCTCAATCGCCGGCTCATTTTGCAGGAGGCGCCACACGTGCAATGCGAACCCGTGAGTGGGTCTCTCTGAACCAGAGACCCAAACTCCAGAGCGTCAGGAAAGCTCAGAGCCAGGGCTGAATTGTGCAGTCCAGGCCAGCTCTGATTGCAACAGCCATTCTGAAGCTGAGGAGCCTTTAACTGAGGCTTGGAACAGATTTGTAGAGCTCCTTGTCAAATGCATGTCAAGGGCAAAATGCAGACACTTGGATCAAACTCTCCATTCTCAACCCAAACAGTCTCCAGAGTCCTTGTGGGCAGAGCAGTCACCAGCTCTGTCATGGGCGTGCGGGAGGCACATGGGAAGGGAAACCACGCCCTGGAAACATTTATCCTCAGCTATCCCAAACTCATCCCCCTACTCCTCCTCTGTATAATCCAAGAAACAAGCTGAAGTTTGATATTGCCTCCATCCCCTTGCCCAAGCCTGCCTGTCCCTCTTCCGTTCTGTCTTGTGTCTCTCTCTACATGAGCTGCCTGGATGGCTTCTCTCCTGTGGCTCTGAGAGTAATACAGTGCTTTTCCTCCAGAAGGCTCCCAAGGCACTTTGTGAGCCCCATAAAGGGTATTAGCAACATTGGGAAACAGTTGCCCCTGGGGTGGGTGGCAGCTCTGTCGACAGCTAGCCTACAGGGCTGTGGGAGATTGGGAGACAACAGCGGAAACACCGACTCCAAGTGCCAAAAGATCTTAATGTCTTTGCAGAGGACACAGGATGTCAGCCTGCTCCAAAAGACACAGCCTGGGGTCTCATCTGATCTCCCTCGGAAGGATAAAGGTTAGATGCTCTAAGCACCACCAGAGACCTGCGTGGCCAAATCCTCAGACCCCCCCTCAGTTTTTAGGCAGCCCTTACTCAGCAAAACTGCCAGTAACTCCAACCAGAGTTTGCTTGATTAAGGAAAGAGCAACTGTGGACTAAAACCTGAGTCAGGACCTTGGGAATTGCATTGTTCTTTCCATCAGCTGCAGCATGTGCTGTAATTACCTTGCTAAGCAAACTGCTTCATTCAGAGTGTCCCCTCCATCCAAACGCTTAAGTTTCTCTTTTGCCAGCTGTAGCCTGTTGCTCCTTCCTCGGCCCAGTGGTGCTAGAAAAAGAGAATGGTGCCCAAATACTGTGACGTTGGATATCCTAGAGTAAATAGGGTGGATAGATTTGTTATCATTGACCTTTTCCAAAGCTGCATTCCTCTAGCCATGGCCTAGCTGGGACCCCCCGCCCCTCTCATTTAACACATGAGAAGGGCAGGGAGGGCATGACCCCCCACAGGGCCGGCTCCAGGCACCAGCTTACCAAGCAGGTGCTTGGGGCGGCCACTTCGGAGAGGGGCGGCACGTCCAGCTGTTCGGCGGCAATTCAGCGGACGGTCCCTCGCTCCTGCTCAGAGCGAAGGACCTCCCGCCGAATTGCCGCCGCAGATCACGATCGCGGCTTTTTTGTTTGTTTGTTTGTTTGTTTGGCTGCTTGGGGCAGCCAAAACCCTGGAGCTGGCCCTGACCCCCCAGCACCAGGTCATGGCCCCCAGCTGGAGAACCCTTGAATTTAAGGATTCCATGAAACCGGTCACTGAACTTTGTCCCGAAAGTGATTAAACTGAAATCCACCTCTTGAAGGTCTCTGATGACAGCCTAGGTATGAAACATGCTTATGACATCACCCGGGCAGCTGCTGATGTCACAGAAACCCCAGTGCCGGGCACAATACTCTTAAGTGAAGGTGGTATGGAGATGGGTCAGGTGAGCAGACAGGGAGCAGCATGAGACTCCAGAAAGAAAAATGGAAGGAAATGCACTACACCCCACGGCAGCTTTCCAAGAAGATTGGAGTCACCTACTCCATGGCCCAGTTCATAGTGCAGAGCTATCGCAGGCCACAGCACGCCAAAGCTCGCCAACATGTCACCCACCTTCAGCCAACTCCCAAAAAACAGAACGTGACTGTGTATAAGGCCCAGTGCACGTATTATGTCAGGACCAGGGGCCGAGGCCAGGAGTTAGCGGACTCTGACGCACCTTTGACATCTTGCTGCAGAGCAAAGGGGAAAGTGGAGGAGGAGATGTGTGGCTATGACGCTCCATTGACATCTAATGCCAGGGGGAAGAGGGGAGCCAAGAATATGGGTGACTCTGATGTGCCTTCTCTTCACATCTGTTCAAGATCTTATTCCAGGGCCAAGTCCAGAAAGAAGGGCGTAAGCCCCTCCACATCCTATTCCAGACCGTGCAGGGGAAGAAGCTACGAGGCGTCTACTAGAAAAACAAAATTTTCTAAAGGAAGGAGGGGCAGAAGGAGGCAAAATGTAAAAAGGAGAAAAGGAGCCCGGGGTGGGAGATACCAAAGGGCGAGAAAAGCTGTCCCTTTTGTGCCTTCAAAGCAGCCCTGCCAGAGAAGAGGCAGAGAAATACCCATAAACCTCCTTCTGGAGGTACCATTGAACATATACCTGGAGGATGAACAATGGGCAGTGAAAGGAGAGGAGAGGCAAACAGGCAAGAAACGGAGGAACAAAGGTGTTGCTGTGCAAGTCCCTTCCATCTGCACCACCGAGCTGGTAGCAACAGATGGCTATCAAACTGATTCTTCTTGCGGACACGGGGAATCCAGGACCAGGCAGTGGTCTGCAGCTGCATCTACGACTGTAGCTGAGAGCCCAGAGGAGAGGAAGGATCCTATCCCTGAGGAGATTTCTTGTGAACATGGGGCTCGTCCAATAGGAGGAGAGGTCCCAGCAGAAATCAGCAAGGAATGCACTAGCTCTGGGTGGTGGGAAAGGATCCAAAACTGGCTGCTGTCCTTCGGAATGTATTTGGAAAATATAATAAAGTCCTAGCTCTCCCAGACAGATCCTTTCCTGTTTGCTATTGTTTCATTGGTCCCTAACGTGAGCATGTTTAGAGTGCTGAACCAGGGACCATCTGCATCACAGTGGGATGTGGGCACTTGCAGGTAGCCTGCTGTGAGCCGCGGAGAATCTAGCAAGCTAGGCTTTGAGGACCTGATTTAAAGGCCACAGGAGTCTTTGCAGTGACTTCACTAGGCTTTGAATCAGGTCCTTATACAGCCCTCACTACCGACATCTGCTGAGCACCTCACAGGCTGCATCCCAGGTGATGGGGATGATCAAGTGATTACCTGGTCCCTGGCCACAGCCCCATAGCCTGGAGGCAGCTTAATTAATCACAGGCTGGGGGCTGAACCAGAATCCCTTTAAAGGACCAGCCCATCCTGGGAGAGTCCCTTGGATTTTAGGGGCCCAACTTGAGACCCCTGACAAGGACCTGGTTTTCAGAGGGAGGGAGGGAGGGTAGGTAGCTGGGTGGGTAATAAACACTGTCTAAAAATTAGCCCCCGTTAAGGTATCTCAAGAAGAGCTAGGTGGGGAACAACAGTTCTCCATCCTGGCAGCGTTTTTGAGAGTTCCAACCTTTTTCCCATCCCGAATTGGGATGAAAAGTCAAAACTCCCAAAAACGTTTGTGACCTGACGATCTGAAAATTGTTTTGTTTCGATAACTTTGAAACATCTCCTTTCCATTTCAACCTTTTTTTCCATTTTTAAAGCTTTTTGTTTTTAGTATAAATTAACTAAAATGTCTGAACAGAAAGTTGCTTTGCACCGGAAAACGAAGGTGTTTGTTTCAGTAATGTCAAAGCGGGATGGTTCTACAATTTCAGAACTTGCCCTTCTCAAAGGGGGAGAGTTATCAGAACTGACCCTCCTCCACAAACAGTTCTAGCCCCAGCAAATTGACATTTTCTGACCAAAAAAACCTTGGGTTGGAAAACTCCCGACCAGCTCCACTCTCAAGTGGGGCACTTGGATGCACGAGTCGCTTTTGAAAATCTCGGCACACAATTGCTGCTCCTCAGAACCTCTGGATGGCACTTTGATTTAGGTGCCGCCAGCTGCGGGGAATGTTGGCTTCATTTCTCCCTTTCCCTGACTCCCTTGCATCTGCCCAACTCGCATCTGGATTCAATCTCTTTTGGCCCTAACACTGTCTTTGTATCATTGCCCAGCCAGCCGTTAACATTTCAGCAGCCACAGTTCTGTCACTCAGAGAATGCAGCTTCTTTCAGCTCCCCGGGCTGTATCTCAGGGTTGACATCAAGGGCACACCCGGTCACCTGTGAAGCCTGATTTGCAATAATTTGCAGCCCAGTCCCAG